CCATCCATCCATCCATCCATCCATCCATCCATCCATCCATCCATCCATCCATCCATCCATCCATGTCAGCAGATGTTACTGAGATCAATAATCACATCCTGATGAAGAGTTACACCATGATCACAGAGAATCTGTTGTTGGATCACAAACAAAAAGCCAGTCTGTAACGAAGAACAAGATAATGATCAGAGTGTCCGTGTGTGAGTGGGTGATGCCATCTTCATGGTGTCCAAGTGTGACTGAGTCGGTGTGCATGCTTTCATTGTCTGTGCACTCACGCTGAGGCCTCCAGCTTCAGCGTTTTGTGGTTGCTCCATGGATCAGCAGACACTTGTGGAGGTTTAACCTTGACGGCGTTGCATCATTTGTATTCTGAATCTGTGCTCGGACATCCCAAGTACTCGTTGCCTGAGCCACTGGTCTCTTGTCTTTGATTGGTACCTTGAGATCTGTGTACAGTGTGTTGGTCTGTAAAAAGTACCAGATTCTATGTAGTACTGCAGTAGTGTTGACAACAATGTTGGAGGAAGGGTTTATTTACTGCAGCTTTTCTTTGTCAGGGACTCCAAAGTAATTGGATCAATAAACAATTTAAAAACAGTTTATTTTCAGCACTAATAGTAGAATCTGTTGCGAGCTGCATGCAGTCTGGGACTCATTAACAAACAAAGTTTTCCAGTGTGGTCAGTAAATGATTTCTGTGTTCCTGAAAGAGTCTGTAGAAACCCTACAGAAACCCTGAGCATTCACAAACACTCGGGGTCTGTCATGATCATCTCTTGTCAATCAATTAGGTTTTTATTGTGATTCTTCCTGTGAAATGCGTTCGAGGGGAACGTAACAGAATACTATAGTATTTCTCAAAGACGAAATAGATCATTTTAATATTATTTTTGGACACAAAGAAACAAATTAAATGAATATATCAAATAGAAAAATAAAATGTTGTCAGCCTGTTTGGAAGTTAGAAGTGTATAATTGAAAAATCATCACAAGTAGGCCGGTCGCGATAAACAATAAAACATTTAATAAACAAGAGATAATCAATTAATCGCATGAGAAATGAAAATTATCAACCTCATTTTCATTTATCAGCTTTACCGTACTCTCTTTTTCTGGACACTGGATAACAAAAGGCTTAACTCCGGTGCTCTTCACTGACCCCCCCCCCCCCCCCCCCCCCCCCCCCCCCCCCCCAAACACACACCCCCTCTCTTTGCTTTTTAAAATCTGTTTTAATGATCCTAAATTAAGTTTTTGGACCATGTTGAGAACCCAAGAGAGACAGCCCATGTCACATCAAGGGGCCTCCCTCCCATTTTTCGTAAAGAGACACGCTGCTCGCTCCCTCACTATCCATCCTTCGGTTCAAACAGTCTGAATATACTGCCATCCAGTGGTCAAAAAAGGTACTACATTCACAAATTAACCAACATTTCTTCTTAAAATGTACAATTATTACTAATTATTGTCAAATTTCAAACAATGTGATCGTTTATCTCAATAATTTCTGAGACAATTAATCGCCCAGCAACATTTGTTATCGTGACAGGCCTAGTCACAGATGATGCTTTCAGATGCGTTGAGGTTTTCGTCAGTCCTCACCTGGGCAGGTGATGAGCATGGCAACTGTTTGAGGGTTCAGATGACATCATCTGTTAAGGAGCACTGCAGTCCCTTTACTGCCACCGTAGAGTCTGTTAGTCGTACAGACAGATGTTGAGGTCTGGATTAGTATCTTCTGCATGTTTCTCTGTGCTTGTCCAGTGAGCGAGTCTTTTCAGTGATGATTAAAGGAAGACATGGTTTGAACTTCCTTTCCCTTCATGTTTCCCTGTGTGCCACGTCCCAGGGGTCTCCTTTTAAACTTGTTTGAATTTGGGCCTCATTCTGGGCATTGCACCGACTTTGGAAGGTTGAATTAACTGCTCCCACATGTAAACACGTAACGCTTCATATTTGAATAGTTACTGATCAAAACAGATGCAGTCTCTTGAGCAGCACATCATCCAAAATAGATTAAAATACGTTTTTTTATTAAAATGTGCTTTAAAAATAAAATTGCTGTAAAAAAAATTCAAGGAGACGCTCAGGGAGATAATATGACCAGAGCTACTGCAGGCAGACACATGTGATCCTTATCAATGTCCCAGAGGTGCATGTATTTGATCCTATTTGTTAATTAGTTAGAGTTTTTATGATTAGGATTGCCACTTCATAACTCGCACCTCAAACAGCCTTGTTCATCTGTTCGGACTCTCCTACAGGATGCAGATAATGGCCATGGGATGTGAGCATCAGTGGGTTCTGCAGGCGTTGTGATTCATGGTGTTCGTTCTTGTACCAACAGTGTGCACCATCACACCGTGTCCTGGCACCTACTCTGCAAACACGACTGAAGAGAGGCAAGGGCAAGGTGGCCTGACAAGATACCATTCAGAGCCTCCAGACTGTGACGTTTTCATGTTTTTAATCCAAGATCAACTTTAGCTTGAATTTGTTGTTTACATTGTGTCAATAGAGTCAAACACAATTGAATCAGGTATCTAAAGAACGGGAACTAGAACTCATGGTAGGCCTATATGCACATTATTTTAAGTTTTTTCGTCTTCAGCTGAATGATGATCTAATCCTCTGAAAGAGCACGTCTGAATGTCTGCTCAG